AATAAAATTTTAGTTCATAATTTTAAAAATATTAATTAAAATATAAATTTTTAAAAAACTATAAAAAAAATTGAGAAAAACACTTACTCTACAGTCTACACAGTAAACTAAAATAAATGACAAATTTTATCTTTATCCAGAATTCTCTTTTGCATTTTTCCAGATAGCAGAGACCATTGTGGAAAATCCTAGAAATCCTATACAAAAGATTACAGAAAGTAGAAACTATCACTTTCAAGTTCCTTTCGTTTGTCCCATTACCTATTTTCAAAAAAAAAAAAAAAAAAAGTTCCTTTCGTTTGTCGTGTCCACTGTCTCGTCTTGATCTTGACCGCGCATGAACATTCCAATACCAAACATGGTGCTTTCCTATTCACACTTCCAATTCTTCTTCCCTAAGCATTTTCTTGAATACCCCTCATTCTCTCACCTTTCACTGAGAAATTTTCTACTCTTAAGTCAAAATGGTTCTTCTGTTTTCTCTGAAATTCTCTTTCTCTGGAAGAAATTCTCAGTAGCCGAACGCAAACAGGTGCATTTCTTGCTGGTAAAGCTTTTCATAATTTCATTTCTACTTTTACATGGTGGTATTCATTTCTCTTGAGAAGTCAGTTTTTTCCTTCTTCTTTTTTTTTTTCTTTTTTTCCTTTGGGAAACACGGTTTTGTGTCATTTAATTCTGAATTCTCAGTGGAGGTAGATTATTTTAAAACTCCTCGGAAAGGTAGTCACTTGATGGTATAATTCTGAATTCTCAGTGACCAAACAAACGATTCCTCTGCACGTGAAATTAATTTTTCTTGGTTTTCACTAAACAATAACGTTTGCCTAACTGATTTTCCTTATGGGTATATCTGCTAGTATTTGGTTTTGCAAATGTCCGTTTGATTTCTCCATTCAAATTTTGAGTATGTTGATTTGCTTTTCTTCTAAATTCTCAGAATTGCAGTAGGGGAACGGTAAAGGAAGACAACCCATCTTCAGAATTTTCAAATCCCTCCATTTTCAGGTAGAAAGATCATTCCTTAGAAATCAAAACAGTTTAAAATTTTCATCTTTTACTTTTTTATTTTGTTTAATAATTATTTATTACTAATTAATTAAATAAAAGCAAAAGACACCGAAAAGCTGCATTTAGATCCCTATTTTAGAGACATTCCAATCTAAAATGCTGCTTTATGATGAATTTATTTGGATTCATTGTTCTTTGATTGCAGCTAATTTTGACTATTAATTGTTTCTGTTGAGGAATTCTGCTTCTTTTTTTTTCTTCTTTTTTTTTCAGTTTCTTTTCTATTTTTACTGTTGAGGTATGATGCAAATTCATGAGTACCTTCAGAGCAGAAACTCCATTTTTCTTTGGTTCCGTAACAATCCTCAGCTACAAACAAAATTAACGTCTCAATGTCACATCTTAGGCCCATCTAACCAAAGCCCCTTTTTAAATGAGTGGTTATATAGCATTTCACGTGCGTGCAACAGCTACTTGCTACTTTATAGGGCAGGCCATAGTTTGGCAGGCCATAGTTTGCATTTATATCTCGAATTCAATATCTTCCTTATACACTAATATCTCTAACACAATAACACTTTTAATCATTGTTCTTCTAAAAAAAAAGAGTGGTGACATTTTGTCATTAATTTATTCAATCTTGTTGAATAAAATATTTTTGGTTATCTCTTTTTCAGCTGGATCCAGGATGTTATTGAACTGTGTCAATAATGGAGTTTTGGAGCTTTTAGTGTGAATGACCGTTATGCACCGGCCCATTTTCACAATGTCAAACAAGTCATTTCTTTCCCTCCTTTTCCTTTTGATCTTGTTTTCTGTTTTCTTTGTTTTTCTCCCGCCTGTTTTCTCACTTACTGTTGAGACTCAAGCCGTCCTAGAATTCAAGAGTAAGCTCAAAGACCCCTTGAATGTATTGGGTTCTTGGAAAGAGTCAGAGTCTCCATGTAAATTCTCAGGAATTACTTGTGATCAACTCTCTGGGAAGGTCACGGAGATCTCTCTGGGAAACAAGTTGCTCTCCGGGGAGCTGTCTCCCTCCATTTCAGTCCTTGATGGTCTTACAACCCTTTACTTGCCCTCTAACAATATTTCTGGGGAGCTCCCTCCCCAGCTAGGAAATTGTAGAAATCTCAGGGTGTTAAATCTCACTGAGAATGTAATGGTGGGAAGCATTCCTGATTTTTCTATGTTGAGGAACTTGGAGGTTCTTGATTTGTCCATAAACTACTTCTCTGGCGGGTTTCCTACTTGGGTGGTGAACTTAACTGGGCTGGTTGGATTAGGCCTGGGGAATAATCATTTTGATGAGGGTGAAATTCCATATGATATTGGGAATTTGAAGAACTTGACTTGGTTGTATCTGGCTGGATCCCAGTTAATTGGAGAGATTCCAGAATCTACTTTTGAGCTGATGGCTTTACAGACACTGGATATTTCCAGGAACAAGATTTCTGGGAATATCCCAAAATCAATTTCCAAGTTGCAAAATCTTGTCAAGCTTGAGCTCTTTGTGAACCAGTTGACCGGGGAAATCCCAGCTGAGCTTGGAAATCTCACTCTTTTGAGGGAAATAGATATATCCTCTAATAGATTGCATGGGAAATTGCCAGAAGAGATTGGCAAGATGAAGAATTTGACAGTTTTTCAATGTTATCTTAACAACTTGTCTGGAGAACTCCCTTCAGGATTTGGGGATATGCCTTATCTGACTGGGTTCTCGGTCTACAAAAACAACTTTTCTGGGGAATTTCCTACAAATTTTGGCAAGTTCTCACCACTGGCCAGTATTGACATATCCGAGAATCAGTTTTTAGGTAGCTTTCCCAGGTTCTTGTGTGGAGGTGGAAAGCTAAGGTTCCTACTTGCTCTAGAAAACAACTTTTCTGGAGAGTTACCAGATTCTTATGCTGAGTGCAAAACCCTGGAAAGATTGAGAATCAATAAGAACCATCTGACTGGAATGATTCCAGATGGAGTTTGGGCCCTGCCACATGCTGGTATGATTGACTTTGGTGATAATGATTTTACTGGAGGGATATCCCCCAGCATTGGTCTTTCCATTAGCTTGAATCAATTGGTTCTGCTAAATAATAGGTTTTCAGGTGTGCTCCCTTCAGAACTCGGCAAGTTGGCAAACCTAGAGAGGCTCCAATTGAATAATAATGACTTCTCTGGCAATCTGCCTTCAGATATTGGGGCACTGAAACTGTTATCCTCATTACATCTGGAGCAAAACTCATTAACAGGATCGATACCTCCGGAGTTGGGTAATTGTTCCAGGTTGGTGGATTTGAATCTTGCCTGGAATTCTTTGAGTGGTAAAATCCCCCAAACACTTTCACTCATGAGCTCATTGAACTCTCTGAATCTTTCAAGAAACAAACTCTCAGGTTCAATTCCAAAAAGTCTACAGAAACTGAAGCTAAGTTCTATTGATTTTTCTGATAACCAACTGTCAGGAACTGTTCCTGTTGATCTCTTGACAATGGGTGGAGATAAAGCATTTTTTGGGAATAAGGAACTCTGTATTGACCATGATTCCAAAACCCTTATGAATTCGGTGTTAAATGCCTGCAGTAAAGACCATAGACAAAAAAAGGTCTTGTTCTTCATGGTAGCAGCTGCTTTGCTTGTTCTAGCTGGAATACTAATTGTGAGTTACAGGAACTTTAAGCTTGGTGAAGCTGACTTGGAAAGCAATTCAGAAGGAGAGAATGAAGTAGATCCAAAATGGAAACTTGCATGTTTTCACCAGTTGGAAATTGGTGCAGATGAAATTTGTAATTTGGAGGAAGACAATCTGATCGGAAGTGGCAGCACTGGTAGAGTTTATCGTCTGGATTTGAAGAAAAATGGAGGAGCAGTTGCTGTTAAAAAATTGTGGAATGGAGATGGTGTGAAGGTTTTGGCAGCTGAGATGGAAATTTTGGGGAAAATCAGGCATAGGAACATATTGAAGCTCTATGCTTCTCTATTGAAAGGAGGATTAAGCTTTCTTGTGTTTGAGTACATGGCAAATGGTAATCTGTTTGAAGCACTCCATAGAAAGATCAAAGGTGAGATGCCAGAATTGGATTGGTATCAGAGGTATAAAATTGCTTTAGGAGCTGCCAAGGGAATTGCTTATCTCCACCATGATTGCTCACCTCCTATAATTCATAGGGACATAAAATCAAGTAACATTTTACTTGATGAGGAGTATGAGCCAAAAATTGCTGATTTTGGATTTGCGAAGATAGCAGAAAAGTCTCACAAGGAATCTGATTCTAGCAGTCTTGCTGGCACCCATGGTTACATTGCTCCTGGTAAGTTTAAACTGTTTCTTTTTTCCATTTTTGTGGGTCTGTAACTTTCCAATGAGATTGAAGTTCTATTACATTGTTAGAGTGCCATTTTATACTTTGTTGTGTACACTGGTAATATTCTTATTTTTCTAGTAAATAAATCTTCAATCCATGCCACTTTGGGCTTTAATAAGTTTCAATTACCTACTTATGCTTTGGAGCACTTTATCTTTAGTTGTTGTCTCAATTATTTGTGGTTGTCCTAACTTCCTATGGGGATCTGATATCTTTTCTATAAAATGCATGGATGGATTATTACATGAAAAGAAGTATAGTTTCTGCACATTACACTGAAAAAAATTAAAATTGTTTTTCTGGTATTTAATTGGAAAAGCTATATGGTGAATACATTTTTTTTCTGGTATTAAAGTTTCTGCACTTAATAGTTTTTATGGTTTGTTGTACTGTCATTTCTTCCCCTGGATCATCTGTAAGTTCATCTGACATGTTAGAACACAAGATTTTTCTGATACTTTGTACACCTTAAGTTTTGCGTCTTTGTGAAACATGTGGGATGACAATAATACATGTGAATTGTAGGCGTCCGTGGCCCTAAGTTTTCCATATTTGTGAAACATGTTTCTGCTAATTAGAGTCCTTCCTCGGCCCAAATAAGAAAACAAAAAAAATAGTGTCCTTTCAATTGAATATAATTTGTATTGACATGTGACTCTCTTCTGCATTCTGATATTGCTCTGCAGAGCTGGCATATACCCGGAAGATCACCAAGAAGAGTGATATATATAGTTTTGGTGTGGTTCTTCTAGAATTGGTTACTGGCAGAAGGCCAATTGAAGAGGAGTATGGAGAAGGAAAGGATATTGTATATTGGGTTTTAACTCATCTCAGTAACAAAGAAGATTTCCTCAACATTCTTGACAACGAAGTGGCTAGCACAACGGTCCAAGATGACATGATTAAGGTCTTGAGGATTGCTATTCTTTGCACAAATAAACTTCCAGATCTGCGCCCAACTATGAGAGAGGTGGTCAAGATGCTAGTAGATGCAGATCCTATGTCATCAGAATGCAGTTTTGACAGGTACAATAAGGATTTTATCTAGCTTAATTTTGGTAAGTTTGTCCATCAAGCTTCGAACCAGGTGGCCAAATTCGGAGAATATATTATAGTGATGTATTTTCAATCAAGTTTAGGGCGTACCGTTGGACAGTTTTCTCTTCTATGTATTCCTTTGTTAAGAAATGCTTATATTGGAGTTGTGCATAAATATATATATATATATATTTCTACTTCAAACTAGAAGTGATTGACGATTGTTTTCTTGTCTGCATGAATATATTTCTTAGACTGCAAAAGGTTATGAATCTGTCTTTAGGGAATATGAGTACGTTACTTCTCCAATCTCCATGAAAGCAATCAAGCAATAAATCAGCAAACAGGGTTGAAGAGGAATAAGAAAATAGAAACCCTGGAGATACACTTTTGCAGAGTTAAGAGAGAGAAAAACAGAGCTAGAAGATACTGGAATTGCTACACGGAACAATACTTTTATAATTGGTATGCATTGTGGGTCTTTTTTTTTTTATTTTTTTAATTTCCTTGGACACGTGACAAATTTGTAGGGGAGGGGAAACTTAGGTCTTCGGCCGGGTGACACTTGAGCTAAAAGACCAGTTATAGATGGACGTTCATATCAAAGGAAAAGAGTAGGTACCACAACAAAAAAATTTCATTACAGTAGTTATTAATTCTACGACATAATATTGATTATCAAATCTTCTTGTAAAAAGAATACCCTGGCTCTTTCATTCTCTTGTTATGGTTCAGTAATATCATTGCAGCTTAAAAGTGTTATCGGTGAAATGCATTTTGACTAACAATTGAATCTTACCAAAAAGTAAGATATTAACTTGTAATTCCTAACTCTTAACTCTTAATTATTGCGATGGTCAAAAATAAAAAATAAAAAATACCCTGGATCTCTCTCGTCCTAGACCCTCCCAATGTAGGGTTGAATTACTTTTCTTATTAATTAAAATTTTTTTAAAAATATGTGCAATAAAAATCTTCATTTAATATTCTCTTAAAAAATAAAGTAAAAATAAAATTTTAAATCATTAAAACAGGTTCCAAAAGAAAATTTTATTTTTTACATAATACATTTTTAAAATTTTAAAAATATATTTTAAAGTACTTTGGATGTAGCCCTTAGGGTATGTTTGAGTGAACTTATAAGGGTTTCAGTTTTTTTATATTATTTATATTTCATAAATTTAAATTTTTTAAAAAAAATTTTATATTTTTAATTTTTTTTAATTTAAAAA